TGGTTAATATTAAATATAATCGTCAAACAGACTATATATATATATATATATATATATATATATATATATAATCAGAAAAGAACAAATCAGTAATGGTAATGATCTTTTTCTTATAGACAGATTCTTGAACGGTTGGTTCATATTAAATTAGATTCCGTTTTGAATTTATTTGACGGCAATTTTATTAGAATCTACCAGTTGTTTGTTCCCTCAATTACTCCACCTCGGTTGAGTTCGGTAGAACTGGTCAGTTGATATATGTTATTAAAGAATATGTATTAAATATATTTCAATTAAAAGGTTCAGCGATAAATTAATTTTGAATTTGTTAAAAAAAAAAGCATATCTCACTCTAGTTTTAATATGATCTAAATGAATTTGTCGAAATAGTTCAGTTTTAAAAATAACAGATGGATCCAAATGTTGAGTTTGACATTCATTAAATTTATATCTGGTATGACTAACTGAAACATTGATAAATATTATATTAGGGTTGGATTCACGTGAGACCAAGAGTTTTTCGTGAGACTCGTAAGACCAATTTATGTTCATCGATCAACTTTATAAGCTAATGATCTAATGGTCTAAAGTTGCACAGTGGTAATTTTGTGATAATTGAGAAGTCTCGTGGCAATTTTGTGATTATGAATGTTCAGATTATAGATCTAATCCAAGGGTTGAGGATTGGTCTTACGGGGTCTCGCAATAAACCTTAGGTCTCACATGATTCCAAGTCTATTATATTATATTGTTTTCAGCCTTTTAAACAGTCGGCTCAAGGCCGAAGACTAAATATGATCAAAGCCATGAGACAAAAAGCATATCAAGAGAGGGAATTAGAGAATACGTAGACTGGGACCCTCGTCCAAATTGGTTCATTGGTCATTTTTTAAATCTTGCTCGTCTATCGTCTTGTAAGATGTTAATGATGACATACATGAGTTTATTTCAACATGTTTCCTCCTTGTTGCTTATATTGCAGCTCGAATCTAGCAATTGGTTGGTCTTATTTAAAGTGTTGGTCTATATTGGAGAATTCATTCAATAACACTATATTATCCGTGGCTGGAATTTTGGATAAGTTATGCAACTATAATCATACAGGAAATAACCTTCATAATCAGCATTTGTATAAAATATAACGTTTTTCTTCCACTTCCCCGGAGATTTGATTTACTTATAACGCAAACATATATTAAATAGATATAAAATCAATCATATATGAAGTTACTGCAATCCCTGTATACTTTAAAACCAGCAAGTTGAATAATGAACTTGCATAAATAGACCAGACCAACAACGTCGAATAACAGAACCAAAACCTATTATATTTGGTCCGAATTTTGGTTCTATAGTTTTTTTTTATTAAAATAGGTCATCTGGTCAGGTTGGGGGTTAAACTGTAATAACTCAAGTTTCTGAAATTTTGGTAAATTAATGAAGTAGAAGGGTGAAGTTGAAATCGGTGTTTGTGCAGGAGTTAATTGTGTAAATTGAAGTCTAAAGGGGTAGAAGTCTCAATTCTTTTTCTCATTTTGATCAACCAAAACTCTTGTGTGTGTGTGTACGCACGCGCCGCAGTATTGGAGATTTGCAGCGGATAAGGAGATTTGTAGCTCAATCTCATGCAAGGTTATCATCCCGTATTACTTCCTCTTCATTTGGTATAACAACCACAAACTCAAAATAAATATAATAAACACAAATGCTCGATCTTCGAATTAGCCGTGAGGTTTAAATACTTTATGTAACACCCCTAAAAATATGAGGCAAAAAGGACTGAAATATGAAACGAAAAATCGGAATTTTATAAAAAGAATTCACCCAACAGAAGGGGTAATAGAAAAGCGTTTACAAACAGCTACCGAGACGATAATTATCAACCTACTAATCTAGATTACTCTATATTTAGGTTAAAGGCGGTA